TATGGACCTTTCGGGACCTTCTTGCATCTTTCAGGACCTTCTGGGAGCTTTTTTCCGGGAGTTTTGGGGCCTTTTATGGATCTTTCAGGACCTTTTGGGGCTTTTTATGGACCTTTCTGGACTCTTTGTGGACCTTTCAGGACCTTCTGGGAGGTTTTTTTTGGGGCGTTTCGAGGCTTTTTATGGAGCTTTCGGGACCTTTCTGGGCTCTTTTAGCACCTTTCAGGACCCTTTTACCCCTCCAGAGACCCCAAAATCCCCCCAAATCCCCCCAAAAATCCAATTTATTCCCCTTTAAATCCCCCAAAATCCAATTTTTTCCTCTTTAAATCCCCCCAAAATCCCCCAAAATCCAATTTATTCCCCTTTAAACCCCCCAAAAATCCAATTTATTCCCCCCAAAATCCCCTCAAAATCCAATTTATTCCTCTTCTAATTTTCCCGAATTCAATCTATTCCCCTTTAAATCCCCCCAAAATTCAATTTATTTCCTTTTAAATCCCCCCCCAAATCCAATTTATTCCCCTTTAAACCCCCAAAAATCCAATTTTTTCCCCTTTAAACCCCCCCAAAATTCAATTTATTCCCCCCAAAATCCCCTCAAAATCCAATTTATTTCCTTTTAAATCCCCCCCAAAATCCAATTTATTCCCCTTTAAATCCCCCAAAATCCAACTTATTCCCCTTTAATCCCCTCAAAATTCAATTTATACCCCACAAACCCCAATTTATTCCCCTTTAAACCCCCCCAAATCCAATTTATTCCCCGTTAAATCCCCCCAAAATTCAATTTATATCATTAAAATAGTTTAAAAAAACCCTAAAAAAAATCATTTAAAAAATCATTAAAAAATCCCAAAAAATCCCCAAAAAATCCCCAAAAATCCCCAAATTTCCCCCAAACTCCCTCAACCCCCTCAAACCCCAAAACCCTCCAAAAAGTCGGATTTTACCCCAATTTTAACCCCGAAATTCCAGGTATTACCGGTACAACGAGGCCCTGGGGGCCGTGGACCCCGACTACCCCAAGAGCATCGAGGTCTGGGGGGTCCCCCCGGGCCCCCGCGGCGCCTTCATGGGCCCCGACGACGGTGAGAGAGGCCACGCCCACCCTCCCCCCTTAACCACGCCCACCCCATCCTTAAGCCACGCCCACCCCCCAAAAACCCGCCCAAAATCTCCCCAAAATCCACCCACCAAAAAAATGGGAACTTTTTTCGGGTCCTCCCGGCCACAAGGGGGCGCTGTTGCTGCCTCTTCGTCGTTGGCCACGCCCCCCTCCCCCCTTAACCACGCCCCCTTTAAACCCCGCCCCCAAAATCTCCCCAAATCCACCCACCAAAAAAATGGGAACTTTTTTGGGGTCCTCCCGGCCACAAGGGGGCGCTGTCGCCTCCTCGTCGTTGGCCACGCCCCCTCCTCTTCCTCGGCCACGCCCACCCCTCCTAAGCCACGCCCCCTTTAAACCCCGCCCCGAAATCTCCACCCACAAAAAAAGGGACTTTTTTTATTGGGTCCTCCCGGCCACAAGGGGGCGCTGTCGCATCCCCGTCATTGGCCACGCCCCTTCCTGTTCCTGGCCACGCCCACTCCTTTATCCACTGGCTTCCTGTGGTTGTGGCGCCGCCCCTTTGTCCCCTTTTTGGCCACGCCCCCAAACAGACTTTGGCCACGCCCCCTTTTTAACTCCGCCCGTCCTCCCTTTTGGCCACGCCCACACAGCACCTTTAACCACGCCCCCCTCTCCCACCTTTTTAACTCCACACCCTCCTCCCTTTTGGCCACGCCCACAAAGCAAAAGGCCACGCCCACACACCACCTTTGACCACGCCCACTTTTTTAAGCCCACCCCTCCCTTTCAGCCACACCCACAAAGTGGAGGCCACGCCCACTACACCCTTTAACCACGCCCCCCCCCCCTTTTACCCCCCCCCCCCCCCCTTTTTACCCCCCCCCCCCATCCCGCATTGGCCACGCCCCCCCTTTGTCCCTCTGGCCACGCCCACTCCTGTTGATCACCCTTTGGGCTCCTCCCACATCGGCCACGCCCCCTCTCCCAGTGGCCACACCCCCCTTTGACCTCCTTTCCTTTGGCCACGCCCCCTTTTGCTGACGGCCCCTCCCTCCCTCTGGCCACGCCTCCAATCCTGTGACCCCGCCCACTGCTCTTGACCCCTCCCCCCTTTCACCCCTTCCCTTTGGCCACACCCCTTCCCTTGACCACACCCCCTCCCCTTTAACCCTTCCCTTTGACCCCACCCCCTTCATGACCACACCCCTCCCCCTTCAACCCCTCCCCTTGCCCTTTAGTCCCTCCCCTTCCCCTTTAGCCCCTCCCCTTTCCCCCTTAGCCCCTCCCCTTTAGCCCCACCCCTTCCCCTTTAACCCCTCCCCTTCCCCTTTAACCCCTCCCCTTCCCCTTTAACCACTCCCCCTTTCCCCTTTAACCCCTCCCCCTTTTTCCTCTCCTTGTGGGCGTGCCCCACGCTAAACCCCGCCCCTTTTTCTCTTGGCCCCGCCCCTTTTTTCCCCCCAGGCTTCACCTACTCCTACAAGGGCTCCCTTTAACCCCTCCCCTTCCCCTTTAACCCCTCCCCCTTTAACCCCTCCCCTTCCCCTTTAACCCCTCCCCCTTTTAACTCCACCCCTTCCCCCTTCCCCCTCCTCTTTGTGGGCGTGTCCCGCGCTAAAACCCCGCCCCTTTTTTTTGACTCCTCCCCCTTTTTTCCCCCCCAGCCTTCACCTACTTCTACAAGGGCTCCCTGTACTGGAAGTTCGACAACGAGCAGCTCCGGGTCCTTCCGGGATACCCCAAATCCGCCCTCCGCGATTGGCTGGGCTGCCCACAGGGGGGCGGGGCCGACGGCGCCAGCCAAGCCCCGCCCCTCCCGCCCAACGGAGGAGGGGGCGGGGACACGGAGGTGATCGTCATCGCCGTGGGGGCGGGGCCGGGGGCGGTGGCCGCCCCTTTGGCCCTGCTGGGATTGGCCGGGCTGGCGGGGGGCGTGGCCTTGGCCCTGCGGCGCCGGGGGGCCCCCAAGGGGCTGCTGCGCTGCCAGAGGTCGCTGCTGCCC